TCAGCGATGGAATCAGCTGACTATGCCGAGGCGCTGGAAGCCATAGCCACTCGGTCTTGGACGGGTTGAGTCTGAGTCTGTTCCTCCCCATCCAGACCCTCACGGCCTCCAGGCATCGGGCCATCACGTCAAGGGCATCGTTGGGGTGGCCCGGGGTGGATATGTACAGCTGAGTGTCGTCAGCGTACTGATGGAAATCTGCTTTATTGTCTGGAGTTAATCTCTGCTTATCTGAGTTTTGGAGAAGATGTAAATCAGTGGTTCTCAACCTTTTTAATGCCGCGACCCCAACCGGTCGCAAGTCGAAGACTAAACCGGTCGTAAGTCGATGACTAAACCAGTCGTAAGTCGAGGACTTTCCCTGCCCGGGAGCGCCGCGCATGCGTGGTTCTGCCCCCTGTGCCAGCCGAGGTGTAGTTGGCAAGCGGCAGAAACGGAGCAGGCCGACCACCAGCTGGCCCAGCCCAATGGAGGTAAGGCACCCACCGGAAAAGGGGGAAAAATGGCTGACAAAAAAAATGGTAGACAAAAAAAATGGCGGACAACCTTGCTTGGCGACCCCCATGAAATGGTCGATCGACCCCAAATGGGGTCCCGACCCACAGGTTGAGAACCACTGATGTAAATCCTCTTTTTATTCCCTTCTCTGCTTTTTATTGTGTCTTTTGAATTGTGTAGAAATGTGGTTCATCTCTCTGTGTCTGTAGATGATGATGATGATGACCAATATCTCGGGCTGCCCCAAAGAGGGAGTCAAGCTATTTTCCAAGGCGCCTGAAGGCAGGACAAGAAGCAATGGATGGAAACTAATCAAGGAGAGAAGCAACCTAGAACTAAGGACAGTGAGAACAATTAACCAGTGGAACAACCTGCCTCCAGAAGTGGTGAATGCTCCAACACTGGAAGTTTTTAAGAAGAGACTGGACAGCGTAAACAGACTTTACCATATCCCAAAGGACGGACTCGTCCCCCAACCTGAACTACTGGAGGTTCCAGGGAAGGTTGAGAATAATGATGATGATGTGATAATTATTAATAATAAAAAATAATAACAATTATAATTATTATAAGATGTTCCGGGTAAGGTGAGACAGTAGAGTACCTGCTAGGACGGAAAGAAACCCAAACCCTCTTCAGAGCTTCTGCCCCTCCCTTCACTCTTCACTCGCTCTGCATTCACACCGGAAGCTCTTTGCGCATGTGGGGAAAAAGGAGGATATGCAATTATATGTATTCTTTGACTTTAAACATTTGTATTCAAATAATGCTTTTCCTACATGTTTTCCTTGGGCTTTTTTCTCTCCTGTTCTGCCCTGCCAAAGAGGAAGGAGGAAAGTGGGGAGCATGAACGAGAAGAAACAGTGCCCTAAACTGGCCTTAAGGGCCACCTTTCCCAGCCTCTCGGGGTGCTTTGGACTGGGGTAGATTTGGGGTGCCGTATAACATCTAATGCTGCTCCACCTTTGGGGGCTTCTTTGAGTGAAGAATCCATCCACGTCCTGAGGTTGGGATGTGTGTCTCTTCCTCAATTTTGACTCTTCCATCGCAGGCCGGAGAGATTGAAGTTTCTGTGCAGGATCTTAGGTGTTCCTAGCACTGCGTTCCTCCGGGCAGAGAGAGCTCTGAGTCGGTTCCTGGGATCTGTTGCAGCCCCTCTGCCCGCTTAGGTGTCCCATCCCGGAGTGCTGGGACTGGGGAGTAGAGGCAGTCAAACTGTCAGGAAGGATAACTGCAAAAAACACCACACAGGCGGTACACAGGGTTGGGTCAGTCAGCCCCCTCCCCTCTGGCTGCATCACCAGAACCTCCCTCCCCAGACCCACCTTCTCCTCTGTGGCCCCTTCTCTCCCAAGGACCCCATTGCAAAACTGCAGCAGACGGAGAAACCCCCTCAAACACCTCTCCCCTTAATACATGGTTTTTTCAATCTCTTCGCACTCTGATGCCAAAGCTGTCACAGACAGACACATTTTCCTCCTATGCCCCCCCTTTGAAGGGGGCTCCTGTTACAGCTGCTACCTGGGCCAGGGTGCCCGGAGACATAGACCCCCAACCCTGGGCTGGCACCTATCTCATTTCCTTCCTGCAGCTGACTGGCAAAACAATACATCTGTTTATCTGCCAGCACATTTGCAAATTAACTCCCCCCATCTTACTTATCCATTTCAATCGGCATCTGTAATCACCCTCACCCTCAATCCGCCGCGCCCTCAAGACGTGGCTTTTTAAGCAGGCAGGACTGGCCTAAGTATTACTTTTAATTAGTTTTTTATTGGTTTTAAAGGATACTAATTGGCCTATTGCAATATTTTATTTTAATTGATTTTAAAATGTGGTATGTTTTTTGTATTTGTTTACTTGTTTTTAACGGGCTGTAAGCCGCCCTGAGTCCGCAAGGAGAAGGGCGGGGTAGAAATCCAATAAAATAAAAAAAAATCAAATCAAAACCCACCTGCTGAGACTTTGGAAAAAGTGCAAAGAAGAGCAAGGAAGATACTTAAAGGCCTGAGGACTAAAACATATAAAGGTTGCAAGATTTGGGTTTGGCTAGAGCACAGGTGTTAAACTTGTGATCTCATGTGACGTGTTGTGACTTTTTCCCCATTGCTGGCAATGGGGTGGGAGCGGTTTCAACGTGACACATCCAGCCCGTGGACCGTCACTTTGACATGCCTGGTATATTAAGGCTCCTGCTTGAGTAGGGAGCTGGACTAGGAGACCTTCAAGGTCCCTTCCAGCTCTATTTAAATTTGCCTGAAGCGCCAACTAAGCCTAAACAAACTTTACTTACCAGGTCAGCCAGCAATGTCCAGGGCCAGACTGAGAGTCCCCCGGCTCACTGTCCGGGCGAGTCCCTGCAATAAGCCTCAGTGGCAAGGGAAGCCCTCACATTTGCACAGCCTGCTCACTTTGGCTAGTCTTCTGCCGGGTTAATATGGCTTCCAAAGAGCCTGTTGAACCAGGTAGGGGGTCTGGATGTGCAAACCCAGGAGTGGGGAAGCAGGTCGTGTGAACAGAGCCTCGGGTCACGCTGGCTCCTCCTTTAGGTTGTTGTAGGCCAGAGGTGAAGAACGATGGCCCTTTTATGACTTGTGGACTTCAACTCCCAGAATTCCAGAGCCTGCATGGACCACCAATCATAAAAGGGTCATCAGCGATCGCCCTGCACGTTCCTTCCCTTTTCCAGCCGATAGCTTGCAGAGGGCACCAGCAGCCTCGCTCTGTTCCGCCTCCTAGAATGATGGCGCTGGGAGCCGCTTCCGCCCGCCATAAACATGGCGCCCCCCAGCATTTCCACTCGTAGGTTTCTTCGGTTGTGGCCGGTGAAGGCCATGCCATTTGCACAGCCGCCCCCCGGTATCCTTCCAGCTCCGACCCCCACGAACCCCGGGTCCTTCCTCGCACCTGCCCAGGAACCGCCCGCGAGAGCCGCTCTGAGGGACCCCAGTGCCCTCTTGACTGCGGGAGGTGCCGCGGCCTTTCCCGGCCCCCGAGATGAAGTAGAGCCGAACAGCAACTCCCCCACCGGCCATCAGGGGGCAGCCAAGGACGGGTATTGGTGCCCTCTGCCGGCCCTCGGGAGCGCTGCAACCCAGAGATGCTCTACCCCGAGTTTCCTTTGGAGGGCAGCTCTTCCTCCCAAAGAGGGGGGACACTATCTGGCCCTAGATTAGAGTGCACAACAACCTGCCCAGGTAGGCTGACGAAGGCACTGCAGACGCTGATCGGCATAGAGTTTATAGTTCAGCAACATTTTGTTTCCGTTCACACAACAATCAATCAATCAATCAGTTTATTACAGCCATAAGACCAGACATAATCAAAATATAACAACAGTGACAATTTTACTTCCATATTTACAGAATATAAAACCATCAAACAATCAATGTACTATAATCTAAAATTCTCAAAATAAAACAGCGTATTAAAATTTTTCAGACCTTAATAATGGTGCGACGTATTGTGCAAATGGTGGCACAAAACGGGACAACCTGAATTGATATTTTCGGATCCTTATCCGAAAGTAGCGACTTTAGATAAAATTCATATGCCCTACCTGGAAACTGTTCAATATCGGATGTACAAGAATTTGTCTAGAGTCTTTATATAAAGAACAATGAAGCAGCATGTGGCTTAAGGTTTCTATAGAGCCATCACCACATGGACACACCCGAAGGTGCTTGAACCGTCCAAAAAGGACTGCCGAGGGCAACGCATCCAGCCTGGCTAAGGTGAAAGCTTTATGAAATTTCAAAATTGTAATGGAAAATAGGTAAGAAGCTGGGAAGAATCCTTCTGGAAGCAAGTGACAGATGTTGGAATGTGCCACCTTACTTAAGTTTGTTTGGAGTTCAATATCCCAGATACGTTGTTTCAAGGCAGTTCTAGCATTATCAAATCGTAATGAACAGACTTTCCATAGAGAAGCCCAGCGATTTAATTTTATCTAGTGCCTTTTTTCCCCGACGACGATTTAAAATGATCTATAAATACTAACGGGGCTAAACCGACAGGCATCAAAATTAACTTTAGCCAAAAGGTAAGTAGGAGGAACCGTGGAAGCTATTCCAATGAAACTAAACCTATTTCCACCCGTAGGATCGCATTTTTAATACTTTTAGGTACCATCAGTATGGCTCTAATAAACTTACTTTGAATAATTTCAATAGCATTAAGCTTTGCAAGTCAACATATTTGCGAGGCGTAGAGGAGCTGAGGGACTGCCTTAGCTTAAAAAACCTTAAAAGCTGCCGGGATATAGTAAGCTCCTTTAGGATGATAAAATTTTATGATAGCTGATGAGGTGTGCTGTGCAACACTTGCCCGATAAAGAAAGTGAATATGCCAGGATAGGGAGGCATGGAACTGCACTCCAAGATATTTATAGGTACGCACCTGTTCAACTGGAGTCCCATCAATTTACCATTTGTGGATCTTATGATGGTAAGAGACAAATACTAAAACTTTAGTTTTTTCATAATTTATTAAAAGTTTGTATTCCATGCAAAATAAAGCTAGTGCCTTAAGTGCTTTTCTCATTCCCACCTGAGAAGTGGACAAAATAACTATATCATCGGCATACAATAGTGCTGGAATTGCACGATCAGCCAAGATAGGTGGATGATGGGCTGGATCAGCAAGCACTTGCATTATTGGATTTAGATACAAATTAAAAAGTCATGGAACTAATATGCAACCTTGCCTTACACCTCTATAGGTTGGAACTGCTTTAGATAAATGTCCCCAGGGGGAACATCTGATTTTTAGGGAGGTATTTGAATAGAGCGACTGAATGAGAACCAACAGCCTTTTATCAATCGTGGAACGGCTTAGACTATACCACAATCTCTCCCTTGGTATTAGATCAAAAGCTGACTTAAAATCAACAAAAGTTGCATAAAGAGAACCACGAGAGGGGGTAGAATATTTTTCGGCCAAATGGTGCAGAATTAGACAATGATCCAGTGTTGAACGTTCCTCCCTAAATCCGGCCTGTTCTTCAGCAATAATATTTTCATTTTGTACCCAATCCACTAACTTTGTATATAAAAATCTGGCACAGAGTTTATTTATTGTATTTAATAAACTAATAGGCCTATAGTTTACAGGGTCAAGTCTACTTCCTTTATTTTTGTATATCGGTACTACAATGGCCTGATTCCAATCAGGTGGAAAATGTCCTATGTTATTAATATGAGTGAATAGGAGGCTAAAACTGGGGCCCACCAGTCTTTATTTTCCCTTATTAATTCAGGGGGGATAAAATCCCCTCCAGATGCTTTACCTGATTTCAACTGGGCAATAAGCTCTTTGACGTCAGCTACGGATACTGGAGGCCAATCCGGGAGGTCATTACAAGGGGGGATCACTTCTGAAATTATAGCAGGAATCCGCTTAAAGATGTTTTTAAAATGATCCTCCCATTTATCAGCATTCACACACACAATTCCCTCCATGGGATCTAACACCCACATTCACACGTGCTAAGTGTGGCATTGTTGAGAAGGGCTGGATTTCCGGGGCTTTGCCTGTCATCCTAGTCCAGCCTCCCTTACTTCACATATCTCAGGATGGCCGTACATGGTGCTGATGTTTGGAAAACGCATTTAGATTATACGAATGACCTGGAGGAGCTCTTTCACACCCACAACAACGAAGGCCAAATTGACCCTAGTTTCAGCCATGTCACACTTGCTCCAAATAGGCACCGAGTGGGATGATCGTTTAAAGGCAATTTATTAGTCTATTATAGCAAAGAGATTTCCTCAATGAAAAGAGGGAATCCAGGACACAGAATCGGGTTTCATTTTATATGCCTTATAGTAGAAAAAGAACAAAACAAGACTTGATTGGATGGAAGAAATCATCCTCCTCAGTTACACCAGAGACATGGAGAGTAACATCCCATAATATTAAGCATAACCATTGAAATGTGCATTGCATTAAAAGGAGAACACGTTCATATGGGGAAAAGTGTCATGAGTCAAATGGGGCTGTTACAAAAAGGTACAATTTCAACCACACAATTTCAGTTCGGCATTTAACACAATGATTCCCCAGTAGTAGACAAACTGGGCCTTTTAGGCTTAAACGCTCCTTATGTAACTGGATTTTTGATTTTCTTACCAACAGGCTACAATATGTGCAAGTTGGAACAAATACCTCTAATTCCATTTTGTTGAGCACAGGTTCTCCTCAGGGCTGCGTCCGAAGTCCGCTGCTGTTCACCCTGTTGACCCATGACTGTTGTGCTAGGTTTGCCACCACCCATATTGTGAAGTTCGCAGATGATACAACAGTAGCGGTCCTTATTCATGATGACAATGAGGGAGCTTTCCGTGAGGAGGTTGAGGGGTTGGTGAACTGGCGTAAGGAAAACAGCCTAGTTTTAAATACCAGAAAAATCATTTGTGGCATTTTCAGCCTTGCCACATTAAGGTGGGTCACTCATGAATTCTGGCAAGCCAGAAAAGGAAGAGACACGCAGAAATCTCCTCGGGATGAGTGGACACAGAATGTGATCTGAGCCACCTATTTATTTTGTACATACATGAGGAAGTACAGCTGTCAATACATAATTGGTTACATTTTGTTGCAGGGTAGAATAANAAAATAAACCAAGGTGCTGGTAATTTAGGTGTCTTCTTTGGTGACTTTAAGACATGGTGAGCAGTGTCTTTCAACTGGGGGGGCAGCTTGTTTGATCTGAGGCCGGACGGTGGCGCACCCCTCTGGTAGATTGAAAGGGGGTGTCTAGCCATCTGTGGAGTTCCTCCCCAGGCCTTGGGGAAGTCACGGCTGATACTGAGGAGAGGTCAGAGCTCTGTGATTCCCTCTTCAAGGTAGTAGATGTCATACTCAGGGATGTAATCAGGATCGATGTGGTCAATACAAAAATCTTGCACCCCAGGGTAGGCATAATGTTGCAGGGCACAGGCGTTGCACCAAAAACAGCACCGACAGCCGCACTGGCAGATGCAGTGGTCACACATCTACTCTGGTGGCTGTTGCTTCAGATGGGGTTTCTGTGGGTGGCGTGATGGGAGGTGGTGCAAAGTAGGGCTGGACGCAGCGACCAGGGACCCACAAGGGACTTTTTCAGGCAGTTGGACTGCTGCGTAGCCTCTTCCCCAAGTGATGAGATCAACGGGCCCTTTCCAGGTAGGATCAGGGAGTACCTGTGGGCGGGAAGAGAAAGGGAGGGAAAAGAAAAACGCCTCTCTGCTGCAGAGGTGTGTGGGTTGCCAGTTAAGTTTAAAAAATTTAAAGTATAGAGACAAAGGTTGAGGATGTCTTGCACTGCTGGGAGACCAGGGGCATTTTTCCCCTGTTGTCTGATGTACCGGTCAAGGGCTGTTTTTATGGAATTCCAAATTTATGTGTAATGTTCCACCGCCTGCAGAAGTCTGCAAATGCAGCACTGGTGCAGGCGGGGCCATTATCTGTTTTTAGTTGTTTGGGGCGTCCCAGCGATGCAAAGGTCCAAATACAATGATTGATTACATGTTTAGTGGCTTCTCCCCTTTGAGGGGTGGCCATGATGAAGCCTGAGAAGGTATCCACTGAGACATGCAAAAATTTCCATGGAGCAAAGGATGGATATTGAGTAACATCCATTTGCCAAAGTTGACAGGCCACTGTTCCTCTGGGGTTAACCCTCATCGGAAGAGAGTGACCTTGGTGG